ATATAATATATATATGGACTAGTAATTTTATAAAGCATCTTAATGCCAGGAATTGTTAGCATAGGGCATGTACATGTTATTTGTGTGTATGTATATGTGTGTGTGCACATGCATGTGAGGGTCTATGGCTGTTGTCCGGTTTGTTCCTCTATTGCTCCCCACCTTATTTTTCTTGAGATAGGGTCTCTCACTGAATCTGGAGTTCACCAATTCAGCAAGACTAGCTGGACAGGAAACCCCAGGTACCCACTTGTCTCTGCCTTCCAACATTGGGACATAGGTGTGTGCTCCTGCTGGGTTTTTGACATGGATGCTGGGGATCTAAGCCAAATAAAGGATATAGCAAGCCCTTAACTGACTCAACCATTTTCCCAGCCCTGTTTTTCTTATAATATATAAAGTTAGGGTGCTAAGGAGTCATTCAGATATACTCACATTCTTTTTGAAAATGAAATTATTGAATGTCAGCAATGTATTTAATTGAAAAAGAAAAAAAAAATCAAAGAACCCCATTATAGCCACCATAGTATCTAGTAGAGTTCACACATTTTCATGCATTTAAATCTCCTAGGTTAGAAAACAAACCCAAAGGGACAGGGAACTGTGCCTGTTTGTTTACAATTAATTCTCAAATGCTTGCAATAGTATCTTCCATATGGACAGCATGCACAAAGTATCTGTTGATTAAATAAATACAGTTTGAGCTTTGCTGTCTCAGGAATGTATGTCCTTCAGCAAGTACCTAAAGCTCTCCAAGGCTCAGTTAAAACAGAGATAATAGTAGCCAGTAACTCACAGCCCCATTAGAGAATTAAATGAGATAAAGCAGTGTTGGGCAAAATGGTCCAAAGAGACTTGAAACTTCCACTTTCTCTGCTTTGAATATTGAGCTTTGGAGTGAGATTTCATTGAAAGACAAAAAAATTGAAAAGTAAGAAAATAGCATGAGACCACTGTGTGACACCACAGTGTGTGACCCCGGAGGCTGTTGTTCCTATTGCTGATAGGAGGTAAAAGGGTTACAAGAACAGTGAGAGAATGGAACTGTCTCTATATTAATTTTGGGGTTGAAATGCATTGCATTTTGCCTATATATGCAAAGAGTAGCAAACAGTGTCTGAATGTAGCATGCACAGTATATTGAAAAGAAGCGATGACTGAAAATTGGTTCTCCAAATACTTTCTACAAATGAAGAAAAAGAAAACAAGCTAAAAGAAGCATGTTCTAATTAGGAAAATCTTAAGATGTAATTTATATAATTTCACCCTGATAAAAATATACCTTTCCTTAGTTCCAGCCATGCTTTTAAAATTAACCTAGAAAAATAAATAACTAGAGGAGTAATTAATTAGCAGTCATGTGGCTAAGTTTGTGGGCTGCACTTTCCTCAGTTTAGCTTTCAACTTGTTAATAGCTCCTGCCTTTCTCTCATCTCAGTGAGAGTTAGTCAAGGCTGTGTGGCAGTCTGTGCAGAAATCATCATTAGTATCTAGAATAATTTTCTCTCTGATGTGACCAAGCGATAGCCAAGAAGCTCATTTCCCCGGGCTCCAATTTATTGCATCTGCTAAGCAGTTACTCTCAGGCTCAGATCTTTCCCGGTGCCCTTTGCAATAAGAGCAAGAGAGGCAGACATGATAAGGAGGAGCCAGAAGCCTTTTGGTTCAGGGAGATGGGATGCCTAAGGACAAGAACACGGGCTTCTCACATAGCATACACTGTCAATTTCTTTTCTTCTTCATCTTCTTCTTTTTAGAAACATTTTAATTATTTTTAAATCTTAGAGAATATTCTTTGAGAATTTCATACAGGTATATAATGCATTCAGATTACTCTCACCTCTCAACTCTATTTTCCCTCCCTCTTACTCCTATCAACACACACCCCCTCCCTATAACCGTCTTTCTCCCATGTCTATTTTGTTTTGTGACTCACTGAGTTTAA